TATCTTTGATGATATTCCTTAATGGCACATTTCTTTACCTCTAGGTCACCTTTTTAGAAAGTCAGTATTGAGTAACCAAAGTCCCTTACTAGTTTACATAGGCAGATAACACACACATAATTTGTTTTCAAATATCTATCCATACTCAAAAGATTATTAATAATTTGCTAATATGGTATCCAGGAAGAAATGCTCTTAGATAATTTGGTAAGTGATAAATGCAGGCTGTATTGAGAGACAATTTTAGTGTTGCTAGACCCTCTTTGTTAATTTCTTTAGTGTGTGGAGTACTGACAGTGAATTAGTCAATGTGGTAAATGGGGTTACAGACTTTTGCACAACATTCCACAAGTAAAAGGTTCTGAATTGAAATTTTTTTTCTGCATATTGTTTTGGGAATGACAGGAATGAGCATTATTGATTTGTCATCCTTCTTAACTGTACCACAAGTCACATTCCATTCTTATACACAGAGAGGTACATACACATGCACAAATTCTTATTTCCACATTCTCCTGACGGTCTTCTGCTGAATCCTGCAATCCGAATATATTTTAAAAGTCCAATTAAAAGAAAATGATGGCACAGAACACATAACTCCCAGAGGAATAAAATCCCTAAGTGTATGAGATTGGAGGTGAAATATTTTGTAAAGATTGCCATAGACTTGAAAATGTTAAGACATAATGTCAGAGCTTACTGTGGAAGGTACACATATATCACAGTTTTATATTTCTTAAATCAATGTATTTGGTGGTTAGAATCAGCATCTTCTGGGAACTTGTTAGGAATGCAGAATATCTGGCTTCAACCAGACATACCACATTAAAATTTGCATTTTAATGAAAGTCAGGGGTAATTCACATGCACATTAAATCTGGGAGCATAGTAATATGAACCAATTAAATATTTTATGGTTGGATTATAGTTACATGAAATATAAGAGAAAAAGAATTCCCTACCAATGCAAACATTTAAAAAAATCCAATTTTGATAATCCTAAAATCGGCTTATGCTTATCTGCTTCTTCTTATTTCATTAAAATTAACATCAATTTTCTACTAAACTAATAAAATTACTACAAGGGAGTACTCAATAATTATTGAAAGCTGACAAAACATTAGACTTAAATATTCGAGCTGAAATCATACTGGATTTATTTAAAAGAGATATCCTTTAAATGGAAAAAAAGCTGAAAAAGTAGGAAACAGCCAATTGTGGGGGGTGGGGGTGGACCTCTCTCAGTATCACATTGTACCTGTCTGCTTTAGTCACTAACTTGCAAGATCCCTGAAGGTGGAGAGTGACATTCAAATGAATCCACAACAATGAGCACATTTTAAATAAATGAATAACTAAACAATATTTTTGTTTAATTAATTTATTTAAACATTGAAACATTCTGTACCTATATAATCTTGATATTACTACTGACCACTGTCTAGTATGTATCCACTCCCCAAATAATATAAATAGCATTACAATAACAATGTAATGATACTAGAAGAGTAAAATCATTAGAGAATTAACCAGGACCTATACCTACTTCCTGAACTGAACACCTACTTTCAGATTGTTAAGATGGCTCATTTCATGTCTCCTTGAAAAAGTGCACAAACCCTTTTCATTCACTAGGTTAAGCATGGCATTAACTTATCCAATAAGCAAGTGAATGCTTTTATAATAAACAGCAAGTTTTTGAAACAGGGCTTAAATAAGCAAATCTACTTTTTTGAGAACATGATTGCCCTCTAGTGGTGTGAAAAGTTAATGCAGGCGCCAAGCTTTTCCAGTTCAAAGAACCAGCAAAGAGCCTTGGTTCTGGAAACATCTGGGTCGCTGGCTAATTCTGTATTTTTTTTAATTTTTTTGAAAATTTCTTGCGTTTTTCATATAAGGTCACAGGTTGTGTGACAACAGAATAATATGTGTTTGTCTAAGACCACAAGGGAAACTAGAGTGAATTGGAGTTAAATATCAGCTGCCTGGGGTGACCACACCCAAAAAAGGTAGCCCTCGGCTCTGAGGCCAGCTTCCTCCAGCCTGTGAGCAATGAGCTGGTGGGAGTGGGGCTGGGGTGGGGTGGGTGTATAGTTGGCCGGAATAAAAAATACAGTTATTGATAAGTCAGGCATTTTCTTAAAAATGGTTTGGATTTATCAATGACAAAAATCCTCAATTAATTATGCAATTGATTTATCTTCCACTTCATTTTTAATTTTACAGATTTAGCTTACAAATTCTGCTTGATAGCTACAACTAGATAATCACAGAATTGAGTAATTATTTTGATCCTAAATTACAGGGAGAAAACTATTTCACTGTATGAACCGGCTTTATGACACTGGGAGAGGACATTTCCTGAATCAGGGGAAAATGTAACCTCTTGCAGCATTTCACCACTGAGAACGAGTTATTTGATGGAAGACATAATCTGTCAAATGCTTATTCCATGATCTATCCATTAATAATTAAAAAATATGAAAGCAAGCAAATGCATTTTGAATGTAACAATATAACTCAGCTCAAAATGTTAATGATTAAGGGCAGAGACAATTGCTCTAACAATAAAAACACTCCTTTTCTCCTTAGGATAATTTAGTACAAATCTGTGAGTCACACCACAAAAGCATGGTTAATTTTAATTAACTTTAATTTAAAAGTTGTAGATTTTAATATGCCAAACCATCCAATCTTAATTATCACTGAAAAATTTATTTTCTTTCAGGTAAGACAACCACCAGCAAATGTATTAATTTGTATCATTAAACAAGCTACTTGCCTTTGGCTACGCTGGGTCAGTAATGCTTACTGCAGGCTCAGCTTACTCGCCTGGTATGAACTATACATATAAGATTTAATGATAAGCTACTGCTATTTCACTTTCCATCTTATCCTGAAATTTTGACCAAATCCTCCTCTTTCCACCTCCAGTTATTTATGTATCCATTTAGAAGGTGTCCACTTCATTAGAGAAGATAACAGGGAGTTTTATATGCACCTAGTACAATCATGCTGAATACAATAATTGTTTAATGAATCAGGAGAAAGCATCCGCCCTGGTGATTAATTGATTATGCGTTGCAACTGGAATGATTTCAAAAATCCATTATTTTAATAATGCAGAGGTTGTACTTCTTTTCCTGATTTGCTTACTCATGGCAGAAAGGGCCCTTGCATTTGTCGTGTTTGGGGTGGAATTTTTATTAATGGAACGATGGCTACCGTTTCACAACCCACGTTTCTGTGCAAAATTGAAGAGTTTCGAAAACAAAAAAGAAACAATTAAAATTCTGTGCATAACCTACGTTGCAATGTTTATAGATATGGCCTATAATACATAGGAATACAAGTGCTAATATCATAATATTTCAATTATATATGCATATTGCAGCCACAAACAATTTTCTGCGGAGAATATTCCAGCAGTCTTTGGCACACAAGCCCTGCCCTTAGAAAGTACCATCACTTGTGAACATACAAAAGCCCTACAGCAACCAAACATTTACTTGTTTTATAAAGTATAATTAAAGAAGAAATGCATTCTTTTCTGTGGGGGTGGGTGGGAATAGGAGGAAGAAAAGCTAGCGCAGCAAGGGTTAATCCTCATTGAAATGCGATCATTCAAACCGTTTGAACAAATATGGCACCTGAGTCATCAAGCAATAATAATTTGAAATAACAGCAGTAATACTGATGATGGTGATGAGTTTGCAGAAGCCCTCCTGCAGCAGAAACCTCTCGGTGGGGGTGCAGAGCGCAGAGCCAGATCGCCCCCATCCCCCATTCTCAGACCCTTTCCCGACTTGAGGGCGAAGCATGACTGTGGGGAGCTGGGGTAGTTCAGGACACTGCGTAGAAACCGGTCTCCTGGGCTGCACCCGCGGGGGCGAGCGCCCAGCTCCGGGGAGGGGCGCGCAGGGCGCGGCGCGGGGCTCTGCAGGGCTGGCTGCGATCCACGCGCCTGCTCGCCAAGTGCGCCCCCACCCGGCCAGCCGCTGTCGGGTCTGCGCCCCAGCTGGGAAGGGTGGGGCCGAGCCCTCGCTCCAGGAGCGAGGGTCTCTCGCACCAAGACCACCCAAGGGGTCTTCACCTGAACAGGGCGCGAATCGTGTGCTTCGGCTGGGGGAAGCAACCTCAGGCTCCCTGGACTGTCGGAGGGCAAGAGAAGCGCCCCCCGCACTCCTGGGAAGGGGTCACCTCTGCGGCCCCGCGGCCGGCTGGGGTGGGGCCGCGCCTTTGTGTGGCCGGGCGGGGCTCGAGGCTGCCTCTCTGCAGAGACACTCGGTGGGCTGGGAGCGGCTCCGAGCCCGGACTCCGAGCAACGCCAGAAGTCTGCGCACATCGAGGGGCGTCCTGTCTGTTCTAGACGGCCGGGCTGGAAAAGAGGGCTCTAGGACTGCAGATCGCTCTAGGGCCCCCTCCCCAGCCCGCCTCCCCTTTGGCAAGAATCTGAGCCGGAGGTCTCCCCGGCTCCGCCTGGGAGGGTGGGGCAGGGCGGAGTGGTCCAGAGCAAACCTCTTACGCCTCTTTTCCCTGCTCCGCATCCCGCTCCGGGGGAGGGGTGCTTCCAGCCGCCGCCCTAGCTCCAGCCCCTCCCTGCCTGTCCCCGGGGGCCACTGAGGGGCCCAGGAGGCGCAAGACCCAGGGGTTGGGGTTGGAGGCCTTGGGTCCGGAACCTCGTTTGGTATCTGTCTCTTGATACCGGCTGAGCCTATGAAAATTGCGGCTGTTTGGCCCTGTTTGACCTACAAAACTGTTATATCACTTGGCTCAGTTAAAGACCTTGACCTCTTTTGTATCTGTATTATTATGTGTACTCATATCTAGCTTCCAAAAGGTTTCCCCCCCACCGATCAAATGCGTGAAAGAAGAATCTATTGCGTTTAAGTCTAATCAACCCTAGGTGATGTGGTTTTGAAAAGAAAAATGTTTAACCCACTTTTCTCCTCTCTGTCTACAAACAGAACAATGAGGCCAGGGTGGGGAGGGCGGGGGCAATGGTCAGGTCTCGCTCGGAAGCCGAGGCTGGGAGTCGGGAGCGCGAGGCGCGGGGCGTGGCGTCGCTGTCTACCCAGGGCTGGGCTCCGGGCTTCGCGCTGCGCTCCGCACCCGAGCCCCCCTTTAAGCCGGAGATGCTGCACCCGGGGCGGGGGGAGGGCGCCGGCGCGGCTCGCTCAGGGTGGGGCAGTCCGCATTGTGCGCCCCGCGCTGCAGGTGCCTTCCCCCCACCCCCGCGGGACGGCTAGTCTTCACACAAAGAAACCCCACCCCAGCGCCTGCGAAACCGCGGTCCCTCCCTAACCGCGCGCTTCCCCGCCCCTGCAGCTGCCCACCCGCGCCCTCTTTGCCCTCCCGACTTCCTCTCTCCATCCCCTCCCTCTCCCTAAAACAAAGGAGTGTAGGTCTCCCCGCAACCCCGCCCCGCGCCCTTACCTCCCCACACCGCGCCCCAGGACTAGCGGTTTTTGCCACCAGACAATACCATAAAATTTGCCCGGTTCTTCACCCGCCTCCCCTCGTCTCCACCCATCTTTCAAACAGCCTAGATGGGACCACTTGGACTTTACATTTTTCTTTTTCCTTTCTCCCATCCCCTTTCCTCTTCCCTATTTTCTTACTTTCTTAATCTTTTAACTAGAGAAGAAATAAAGGACGTTACAAAGCACTTTCCAAAATGTCCCTTAACCCCATTTAAGGCGTATAGTTGAGGTAGCCCCCTCCCCCAACGGCTAAGCCTTAATTTAAAATATGGAAACAGAATACATTCACTCCCCATGGGACGGCAACTTACCTGCTTCCACCTTAAAAAAAAAAAAACATATCCTTAGCTTTAGATTTTCAAAGATCCCCTCTTTAACCTCCCTCAAACCCCGGAGCTGCCTCCATCCTTCCCAATTCCTATGTTACCAATAATGTCTTTTCTTCTAGAAAATATCTCCAAATGCCTTCCAAGCTCTACGGGAAAAGGTAAGAGGTGGGCTTCAGGTGGAGCCGAGGAAGAACGAGGCGCGATGCCTTACCCATTGCTGTTTTAGCCATTGTAGGGATGTGCAGATGCTGAGCGGTGGCGAAGGCGGAGGGTCCGGCTACAGCAGCGCAGAGAGCGAGAGAGAAGACTGAATAAGGCACTGAGTCTGCAGAGTGGGGCCGTGCGAGAGAAAGAGCAAGAGGCAGGAGCCCATGAATAATTATCACTCAGAAGCTCAAGCAGATTGGCTCCCAAGGTCCCCTGACATGACTCCCGCAGAGTCAGAATCTCCAAGCATTAAATATTGATCGGCCAATGGTGCTGGAGTACAAAGTACCAGAATGCAGTTTGAAATGGAAATCAGTCCTTCCCAGGCAGCTCCCCCCATTTTGGGGGCTTGATAGTACAGTCCAAGTAGAGTGGAGCCTTAGCCCAGAATCCTTCTAGGAGCTAAGAACTGGGCTGTACCTACCTAGGAGCCAGGAGGCTTGACTTGATTCGCACTTGTTTCATTGCACAAATAGACACAGGAAAAAGGAAAGGGTTTCAGAGGCCTGAGAAGTCTGCACAACCTGCTGACTGTTGGAAAAGTCTATTTAAACGTTGTTTTTACTTGCTCCTGTTTTATCTTTCACCTTTGGCCATGTCTTTGGTAGATTCTAGTCTCTCAGGGTGACCCCATGTCTGGCTGTGGTGACAACTTAAAGCAGAAAGGCACGATTGTCATTTGTCTCCTAGCAGCTGAACTTAAATGTCTCTGGACTCCTGGGGATCTCTCAGCAGAGCAAGGCCTGCTGCTTTCTACTTTTGGCACCAAGAAAGGGCTGCTGGGTTGCTAGGGAGTAGGGACAAGTAGTTATCGTCTCCCTGGGGACTTTGGGAAGAAGATGCGAGTTAACGTCCTGTCCAGCGGGTAACAGGGCAGACCCAGGTTGACGGGCTGACTTGAGCATTGGAGTAGCCACAGGTGGGTGGATGCTATGGTGCCCTGGAGATACAGGATTACACCAGTTGAAACCTCAGTGACCTTTCCAGGGCTCTAAGGAGAACCCTTTATACTGAAAGCTTAGTGGAGTTGAAAAGTGTGATCTGGAGCAAGACTTTTTCCCTGAGATCCAGAGTCGCTGTTGATACAGGGCAGAGAAAGGTGCATCCATGTTTCAGGCTGAGCAGTGTGAGGACCTCTGAGACCACGTGCAGACAGTGACTTTTGATTATGAGCCAGATATTCATTAATTCCTTCCTACTCACTAAATGAATGCCATTCATTAATTCATTCTTTCTCACTTGACTCCCATGAATATTCATTGAGCATTTACCATGTACCACGCTCTGAGGACACAGCAGTGAGCAGGATTTTAGGACTTGTTCACATGGACCTCATGGACCTTTTTTTTTTTTTTTTAATTTATTGAAGTATAGTTGAATTGCAATGTTGGGCTTATTACTGTTGTGCAACAAAGAAACTCAGTTATATGTGTATATATATATATATATGCAGCTATATATGTACACACACATGTATATATATATATATATATATACATTTTTTATATGATTTTCTTTATGGTTTATCACAGCATATTGAATATAGTTCCCTGTGCTATACAGTAGGACCTTGTTGTTTATCCACCTTATATATACCATTTTGCATCTGCTAATCCCAAGCCCTCTCTCCTACCCTCTCCCACCCATCTCCCCCTCAGCAACCACCAGTCTTATTCTTTATGTCCCTGATTTTGTTTCTGTTTCATAGATGGGTTCATTGGATTCCTATCATGGTTTTTACTTTGTTTTTCTGACTGACTTCACTTAGGATGATAATCTCTCATTGCATCATGGAGTTTTTAATTATGGTTAATTTAACTCTTCTGTGACTTCACTGAAACTTCCTTAAACCTAAATCCATCAAGAGTCTGTGGTTTTGACATTTGAAAAATAGACAAATAATCTCTAATTCTGTTGTGTTTTAAAGCTAAAAGATTAGTGCATTGTTGAAATCAGATACACGTACAAAACTTTGGCAAGTTTTAAATTTTATAGAAATGGTTAGAATTTTTCTCATAAGCTATCTTATGAGATAAGTTTTTAGCAGCTTTCTATCAAACCACCTTTCAATTTCTTTCTAGCCTTCATGAATAGCATGCAGTTTTGAATGCATAACACCATTTGAAACGAATAGGGTACTCTCCTTGGTGCTGAAATAAATTTCTTCCTCTCCTATTGTAAGACATTTTAAACTCCATGGATATCTTGCTGAATGATAGAAAGCTACAGGAGCACGTGCAGCTCTGACCTGCTGAATCATAAGGAAAATAAAAGATAGAGTAGAGATCAATAAAATCATTTCTTGAACAGGAAGATTAGAAGTTATTCTTCCTGTCACTGTACAGGTCTATGACTGTGACACAGCAAGAGCACTATGGATGTTGGCAGTGTCTGGAAATAAATAACCTTCTTCTCCTTCTTTATAGTCGTCCCCCGTTTTAGATGTGAGAGCCGGTTCCTTCTCAGAGAAGTAGTGACTGGTCATGAGATAAGGGATTGCAGTAGCTCTGCATGATTAATATCTTTAAAGTGTCCTCTTCTTTCCACCACACCCTTTCCCCTTAGACTGTGTGTTATCCCTACCCATTATTAAAATCCTTGGAGAAAAGGTCCCTAAATCATGGTGTTAATGCCTTTAACAATGACCACTAGCAGCCGAACAAGATCTACTGCACTTTTTTTTAATTTTCTTTTTTCTTTTTTTCCATTTATTTTTATTAGTTGGAGGCTAATTACTTTACATCATTGCTGTGGTTTTTGTCATACATTGAAATGAATTAGCCATGGAGATCTACTGCACTTTTGATCACTATCAATAACACAAAATAAAACACTCATTGTACAGTCCAATCTCTCAATCTCTGATGAACTTTACCTACTGATGGATAGGAATGTGAGATGGAGGTCAATATACACAGAGGCAAGTGTCAAATGTGTAAATCTTTTCTATTTCTGACTTTCCAGGTGCTAGGTACTTAACCTAAAGTTATGTATTATTTTCAAATAATGTCAAGCAGGCGAGGTAGTAGGTTAATATGACTTACTATAGAATATGGGCTTCCCAGGTGGCACTAGTGGTAAAGAATCTACCTGCGAATGCAGGAGACGTGCGTTAGATCCCTGGGTTGGGAAGATCCCTTGGAGAAGGAAATGGCAACTGCTCCAGTATTCTTGCCCAGAGAATCCTATGGACAGAGGAGCCTGGCAGACTGTAGTCCACAGGGTCAAAAAGAGTCAGACACAACTGAAGTGACTTGGCACTGTGCAGCACACAGCACTGTAGACTATAAAGATAGGAGACCATCATCAACTGGCTAATAAAAACTAAGTTAAAAGAGCCGAGTTGCATCAATTATTGTTTTGTATTTTTTTAGCATAACAATGTCATAACAATGTTTTAACATAACACATCATAGCCTGAGAGGATAGGGGCAAAATAGGAACAGAGAAATTATCTCATAATCACTAGTTCAGTCATTACTCATTCTTTTGTTCTGCTAATTCATTCAGCAAATATTTAATGAAATTTCAGGCTTTTTATATTCTGAAATCAGCTAATTTTCTCCTTATTGTCTAAAAATTATAAAATATATTATAAAAATTATGAAATAAATTAACGGTCATCTCTTTAAGAAAATGTTACTAATTTTGGAGGATGATTGTTATCCTGTGTATCAGTTAGAATGCTTTTGGTTGCAAAGAATAGGAAAAAAAAATGCAAGAATAGGAAAAAAAAATGCAAACTGACTTTGATAATAAAAGGGGATTGGTTGGCTCATCTAACTACAGAGACTGAGTGGGTCTCAGAGGTCAGAAGATGAGAATCAGTTTTCCTGGAAGCAAATGGTTTTGATGGGGATGTTTTTGTTGTTTAGTTGCTAAGTCATGTCCAACTCTTTTGTGACCCTATGAACTGTAGCCCACCAGGCTACTCTGTCTATGGTATTTCCCAGGCAAGAATACTGGAGTGGATTGCCATTTCCTTCTCCAGGGAATCCTCCTGACCCAGGGACTGAACGTGCATCTCCTGCATTGGCAGGCAGGTTCTTTACTACTGAGCCACCACGGAAGCCCTAGATGGGGATGGATGGATACCAGATGAAACAATAGGTACTAGATCTATGCCATGCAGATAAAGACAACAATTCTTATGTTACAGTGTTTGGAGTAAATTGAAGGGTAGCCATGTGTCAGCTGCCTAAACTACCATGGATATTTAATAAGTTACAG